GGATCCTACATGGGATTTAGTTGTTGCCTGTTTAGACTCTTCTTTTATAAAAATTTTTTTTTAAAGATTTTATTTATTTTTAGAGAGGTCAAGGGAAGGAGGGAGGAAGAACATTAGTGTGTGGGTGCCTCTCACGTGCCACCGACTGGGGACCTGGCCTGCAACCCACGCTTGTGCCCCGAATGGGTGTCAAACCACTGACCCTTTGGTTCACTGGGTGCACTCAACTACTGAGGCACACCAGCCAGGGCTGTTTAGACTCTTCTAATCTGTGACAGTACCTCTGCTTTTCTTGTGTTTTATTACCCTCAGACGTAAGAGTACTTATTGGTCAGTTACTTTGTAGAATGCCCCTCAATTTGGGTCTCACTGATGTTTTTTAATCATGATATTGAGCTTATATATTTTTTGGGAAAAACGTAACATTGTGCTTGCCCTTGCCAGTGCATAGATAGGGGAATGATGATGTTCATGTGAATTATTACCGGTGATACTAATATTGACCCACCAGTTATGTATCCTTCTTTATCATGAATTTACTATTTCCCTTTGTAATTAATGAAATTATTTGAAGAGCTAAAAAAAAAAGATTAGTGGCTAGGAGTAAAGAAAAATAAATGGATTGAGCATAAAAGGTATGTAAGGATACAGGCTGACTTGTACTCAGATACAATAATAATTCCAGCTTGTAACTAGGCATGTATTACTGGCAGACTACTGTCAACTGTTACTGCTGAGCTGTAACTACTGAAAGGTTTCAGATACAAACACAGTTCACCTGATAATGAAAACTGAACAGGAATATAATTATTTGAAAAGTGCGTGATCCAAGTTTGGTTCCACTAAAATTATACCATAAAACTGATATGTTATAAAGAATTACTGAGAAAGGACTATAAGTAAAAACAGCTTTTATATACACTTAGTTTCCAGTTTAGGTACATTTGATTTCAGTCAAAGGGTAGAACCTCTCAACTGAGTTTTAATTACCAAAGATATTGTATGATAAAAATTGTTTATTATAAAACAACCCTTGTTATTCAACCTTTGAAGTTTTGTGTCTCAGGAAATAATAATTTCTGGTTAAGTAGTATACAGACAATGGAAGATCACAGAATAACACTTTAGAGATGAGAAAATGACTTATACAGATTCCTTCAGCAATTTATTCCACCCCAAAACAAAGAAACAAAAAAGGGGGGGACAGGGAAGGGTCTCCTACACTAGGTAAATCCTATGTAAACTTGTTTAGATTTCATTTACAGGCAAAAAGACTAACTTATATGTGTGGAACTATTCTAAATATTAAACTATATTATTGGCATACATAAAGATAATGAAAAACATGGAAGACTTGAAAATTTCAGGTTCACAACCAAGAAATCAAGTATTAAATTATGGTCGAATGCTAACATTTTTAAAAGCTTGTTTGTTTCTCTTTAAGAACTATAAAACTGTACTCAGTGTTAGAAGTAAACTTTTTATTATCTAATAATAAGATACAATTACTGTCTGAAAGCATATACACCTTAACACCTCAAATGTATGTCAACACCTCAGTATGTGCAAGTGAAAGAATTTTGAAAGGAAACATTAATAGATACTACCATTTTTTCACCACCCCAAACACAGAGATCTTATTAATTTAGTTTTATTGGAATAATAATGATCTTTTCAGACTACAATTTAAAAGGAATCTAAGAGCTTTAATAAAAGATTTAACAATTAAGGAAATTTATTCATGTATTGAGAAATATTTTAAGTTCAGTGTTTTTTCAATGAATAAGGCTGTTGAACTAATGATTTAGTAGAGTAAGAATTAATGTCTTTTTTCATTGATTGTTATTAGTTGTCCCATTTCCCCCCTTCATTCCCCTCCACTCTGCACACCCTCTCACCCATATTCTCCCCCTTTAGTTCTTGTTCATGTGTGTTAAGTTCTTTAGCTTTTACCTTTCCCATCCTATTCTTGCCCTCCCCCTATTTTCTGCCTGCCATCTATGATACTTATTCTCTGTACCTCCCCCATTGCTAACCCGACATGTGAACTCCATTTCTGTGGTTCTGTTCCTGTTTTAGTTGTTTCCTTAATTTGTTTTTATTTTAGGTGTGGTTGTTAGTAATTGTGAGTTTGCTGTCCTTTTAGTATACATGTTTTTTATCTTCTTTTTCTTAGATAAGTCCCTTTAACATTTCATATAATAAGGGCTTGGTGATCATGAACTCCTTGAACTTGACCTTATCTGAGAAGCACTTTATCTGTCCTTCCATTCTAAATGAAAGTTTTGCTGGATAGATCAATCTTGGATGTAGGTCTTTGGATTTCATGACTTGGAATACTTCTTTCCAGCCCCTTCTTGCCCGCAAGGTCTCTTTTGAGAAATCAGCTGACAGTCTGATGGGAATTCCTTTGTAGGTGACTGTCCCCGTATCTCTTGCTGCTTCTAGGATTCTCTCCTTCATTTTAATCTTGGCTAATGTAATTATGATGTGCCTTGGCATGTTCCTTCTTGGGTCCAACTTCTGTGGGACTCTCTGAGCTTCCTGGACTTCCTGGAAACCTATTTCCTTTGCCAGATTGGAGAAGTTCTCCTTTATTATTTGTTCAAATAAGTTTTCCACTTGTTGCTCTTCCTCTTCCCCTCTGGTACCCCTATAATTCAGATGTTGGAGCAGTTAAAGATGTCCTGGAGGTTCCTAAGCCTCTCCTCATTTTTTTGAATTTTTGTTTCTTCATTTTGTTCTGGTTGAATGTTTCTTTTTTCCTTCTGGTCCACTCCATTGATTTGAGTCCCAGTTTTCTTTCCATCACTCTTGGTTTCCTGTGCATTTCCCTTCATTTCACTTAGTTTAACCTTCATTTGTTCGTCTAATTTGTGACTAAAATCAACTAGTTCTGTGAGCATCCTGATCACCAGTGTTTTGAACTGTGCGACTGATAGGTTAGCTATCTCTTTGTTGCTTAGAAGTACTGGCTCTGGGATTTTGAGCTGTTTTCTGCTTGAGCCATAATGTTTTGGTCTATCCACACCTATTATGTATGAGGGGTGGAGCCTTAGGTGTTCACCAGGGCAGGGCAACCCTAGTTGCTGGGTTGTGGTGCTGTATGTGGGGGCATGGTCCGAGACAGAAAAAAAATGGCATTTTGCTCTGCTCTCTGTTGCACCTCAGTCCTTTCCACTGCTTCCCCCAAGCGAACTGGGCCTTTCTGGTGCTAATTCCCATGTGGGTGGGCTTGTGTGCGTTCTAGGACCCTGTGGGTTTCTCCAATGAACTTTCCTGTGAGGGTGGGAGTCCCTCCCTGCGCTTCAACCCTCACAAGTGTTTTCCATTGGTGTTTTGAGGCTTTATTTCCCCAGTGTTAGGACCCTGAGTTGTGCAATCTATCTTGCTCCCCAGTTATCTGCACTCGAATGTAGGACCACTGCCTAGTTAGCCGACTGCCTTGCGCACCATGCCCCACTTCTCAACTGCTGCCTCCCTGGGTCTGCCTGTTGTCACCCCCCGCCCGGGGTCTGCCAGCCGCTGCCTGGGTGCCCAGGGTCTTCCCGGTGCCTCCTTGCGCGCCTGGGGTGCCTTGCGCAATGGCTCCTTTCCACTCAGCTGCCCGCCTACTGGTCTGGATGAATGTGTCTATTTTAACTCCTTGGTTGTCAGACTTCCATATAGTTCTATTTTCTTTCATTTTTGGTTGTTACTTTGTTTCTGAATTGTTGTCCTTATTTTGGTTATTCAAGGAGGCACAGTGTGTCTACCTATGCCTCCATCTTGGCCAGAGGTCAGAATTAATGTCTTATTTGGAAACATTAAACTGGCCATCCCTCATGAGGATGCCATCTTGGATAACTGGAGTGCTAGGTACAGTTTACACATCTACACCTGTTTCTATATGGTGGCACATCTGGCTGTATGGCTTTTAGGGCACAATCCTACCATGTTAGGTTCTTTTATATGTGTACTTATCAAGAACCATTCCCATGTAAAATGTGTATATGCATGCATATGCATGCATTCTTACTGTGAACCTGCACGTTGCAAAATAGTTGGAAAGAAAGTGTGTAGTTATTAAACTGGATGTAGCTTAATTGTAATGTTTAGTTTATAAGTGGTTCTATTTTCCACTGCAAAGACTTGGGACACTTGAAAAATAGAAACAATACTTGGTTGATTTTTGTAAGTAGTTAGGATTTTTTTTTAGGTTTTATTTATTTATTTTTTAGAGAGAGAGAGAAACACCAGTGTGTGGTGGCCTCTCACATGGTCCCCCACTGGGACCTGGCCTGCAACCAGGCACGTGCCCTGACTGCGCATCCAACCATCGACCCTTTGGTTCCCAGCCCCTGCTCAATGTGCTGACCTATGCCAGCCAGAAGTAGTTAGGATATTTTAAGTAACTGGTCAATAAAAGAGAGAGGGAAAAAAAGCATGCTTACTATTAATTTCAACAGCAGGTCAAAACAGCAGATTTTATTAAATATTACAACTACCTACCCTTGGCTGTTTTCATGTGTTAAAGGTGAGGTTAGGGGCCTGGAAGTATTAGTAATATGTGTAAATTAACAGACCATATTCTTTGTTAACCAGATTAAAAGTTAGAATTTATTACCTACAATTTTGTGCCAGGTAATGAGTGCTTTATTTTCATCCCAAATTTCATTATAAAACTGGGTTCTTATTACAAACGAATGAAAGCATCTAATTGTTCTTTGACTTCATGTGCCTATATTTAGAAAGATTGGGGAGCTTTAGGGTCCAAGCACGCTGTGGTAATTCTGCTCCCTTTCTGCTGGAGACACACAGACACGGGGTCCTGGTACGCAACTGTACTTTGCCTTCCTGTTTGCTTTGATCTAATGGATCAAGCAAGAAGTCATTCTGAGTTTCTAAAATTACATAAGGTACAACTGAAGACTTCTTTATATTTAAGCTGATTAAGCAATTTACTATTTTACCTTATCTCAACCAAAATATCTAATGAAATAGATAATAGAAAACACCACCTTTTTGGTTTCAAATTGTGCTTCTTCCTGACAGCATCCTCTACAGTCAGGATCCAGCTGAAGCAGGTTGAACTGTCCAAGAAGATCACAGGAGCTGCAGAGTAAGTTGCTGGAGAAGCCTAACTCTCTGCAAGCCTCTGATGAAAACTCTGCCCCGAAGGCAGACACCTGAATAAAAAAAAAAAGATAGAAATAAAACTTAATTCCATATTTATATTATAAAGCTTCTAAAAATGGAGAAACCAGGGTTGTCTGAATCCATCACACTGGAGATGTTACTGTATAACCTTATATGAGTCTTTGGTCCCCTCCCCACCCACCAATTTTTTCTTAATAATGCTTCATCTTTCAGCTTAGCTAAAATATGGATTAAAAAGATATATTATCTTTTAGATATGTATGTTACATATGGTATCTTTTATTAAACAGTCAATAGTTTTTAAAAAGGACATTTACTTAGGAGAAAAACAAATCTCCATTACATTAAAAAAACTTACCTTGTTTACATGGGTCTGTGGAGTAACCCAGACTCTGAGGTGTCTGCCACACCCCACAGACTTACCTTTATTCACAGGCAGCAGGGGAAGAATGGGGAAGAGGACAGAGTGAAGGAGGGCAGGAGCACATCAGAAATAAGACTTTGGGGTTTAGGTACCAGCCCCAGCACTTACAAGATGTGTGACAATGGGCAAGTTAACCTCCCTAAGCATTAATTTTCACACTAATAAAGCACGGAGCAATACTTCCTACATAAAACAGACTGCAGGAAAGACTAAATGAAATGACTTATGTAATTAATCAGAGTGACTGGCAAAAGCAGGCTTTCAAAAATATTAGTCCTCTTCCCTCACCCATTCTTCTCTCACATCCTAGTCAATGTGGCATCCCTTCATCTGTCTAAGCTCAATCCCTCTACCTGTGCTGTGAATTCTAGCTTCCACTGTCTTTACAGGGACTTAATTTCAACATATTCTTCTGCGTATTTTTTAGCGTATTCAGGCCCAAGATTCTAACTGTTCTCCCCACATTCCACCATTTCTAAATTGTTACTCTAGTCTGGTTTCTGATCCCACCACTCGACTGAACTTGCCAAAAATCACCAAATGCAAAGGCATTCAAGCTGTTCTCCTCCAGCTTCCCCTTCCATGGGCTTGTCCTCCTTCCCATTCCTCTTCTATGCATTTATTAAATGTTATTGTTTACCATTTCTATTTTTGATTCTCTCTCTGCTTTACATACTTTCATAGACAAATGCATTTTCCATGGCTTCAAATACCAATTTACTGAAAACTCCCAAGTCTTTTTCTTGAATGTCAAGCTTCCAAAGCCAACAGCCTACCAGATGTCTCATTTAGATATTGCGTAAGGCATTGCAAATTCACATCACCAGCGACGAAACATATCTTCTCCCCTTAAATTTATTCCTTCCCAATGTATTCAGTATCTTTGTATGTATTCTCAATAATGTGTTATCACTCAGCTTAGCTAAAATATGGATTGTTTTCCCTGACCACAATGTTGCCCAGGTCAGTCATTCTGGGCTGTATACTTTTCACCATTCTTACAACCAATCAGTTAACAAGTTTTTATAATTCTGTCTCTTACAGAGCTCTCAAATCTCTTCCTGACTCAGTGGCTTAAAATGGTCACTGATAGTCATACCTCCAATTACTTCTCCAATCCCATTCTACTTTTTCCCTCAGAAAGAAATTTGTGCATAGCTGTAAAATAGCATCACTCACAACACTGTATTTGCAGACAATCCTAGAATTCCTCAACATGTGAACTCCTGAAGCAACAATTAAGTTGTTTCTCTGTATTTGTGGCACTGTGCTAGTTCTCATGTGTGTTGAACAAAGGAACCAGTGAAAACCACAGCTTCAAGTAGGGAGAATTTCGGATTGTATGATTACAGTTGGCTGATCTTCTAGACCAAAGGTCCACAAATTTTATATAATGGGCTAGATAATAATTAAGTAAGACTTTGGTGGCTACCCGGTTTCTGTTGTAACCACTCAACTCAGCTATTGTAGCACAAAAGCAGCCATAGACAATAATAAATGAATGGATGTCTGTGTTTCAATAAAACTTTATTTATAAAAACAGGCCTGGCTAGATTTGGCCCACCACTATAGTGTGTCAGCCTTCTAGACTAGCCAGGAAGATTCAAATACAATGGCATTTTCCAAAGTAAAAAAAGTTCAAGTATTGCTAGCATAATCCTCCAAAATACTGATCATCCCATTGGTCTTATAACATCCTAATTTGATACCTTATACATCTTTTACATACCTCAGTAATAATGTGGAATGTTTATAAATCTTCCCAGTCTAGTGGGAGAGATCTAAGACACCTGCTACTACAGTAGTACTTTAAAATCTCCATTATTAAAGTAATCTGCTTGATCTATCTCACAGAATAATTTGTAGTTTCCAAAGACAGCTGTACCAATATACCATCAGGTCTCCCAGAAAAAAGTCCAACCATTTAATATAATGAGAAGAGTTTGCACATCAATGTAACCTAGCAATCAAGGAGAGTGGACTGAAATATACATGCATGAACAATGATGACTTCACTGTACTAGTCAGTGGGGGCAGTAGATGCTGTTGAGTGAGCATGTATAACATGTAGCTGTTGCATTCAAAATGACCAAGCAAGCAGAGCAACAAATTTCCATCAAATTTGCATTAAACTTGAATATTCCTCCACTCAGAAGGCTGCAGCTATGGGAAACTGGTGATTGGCAGCTTCACCATAACAATGTACAGTTTTTTTGGAAACATCCAATCACCTAGGTGACTTAGCCCCACTACAGCCCAGATTTGGTGCCCTGTGACTTTTGGCTTTTTTCCTAAAACTAAAATCACTTTTGAAAGGAAGAGATTTCAGACCCTCAAAGAGATTCAGGAAAATATGGGTACCTGATGGTGATGGGGAAAACTGTGTGAGGTCCCAAGGTGCCTACTTTGAAGGGGACTGAAGCATCATTGTCCTATGTATAATGTTTCTTGAATTTTCAATAAATACTTTCTGAAAAGACCTATACACATCCTCCCATACATTCTTACAATGTGACTGGGAGTCCTCCACTGGGAGGTAGGTATCTATGTTCCCTCTCCTTGAATCTGGGCAGTGGCTTGTGACTGTTCTTACCAACAGTATGAAGGAAGGAATACTATGTGACTTTGGAGGGTAAGTCATTAAATAAAAAGAAAACAGCCTCTGTTAGCCTAGTGCTTGCACATGCTTTATCTTTGTCTGTCTCAGGACATTCAACTTGGGAAATTAGCCACCATGTTACAAGGAAGCCTAGACTAGAGAGCCACTGTGAAGAGGCCCATGTAGAAAGCATGTGAGGCCCCTGGCTGACAACAGCAAGCATCACTATTAGACAGATGTGTGAATGGAGAGCCTTCACATTTCAGGCCCTAGTATTTGAGCTGAGGTGGGAGACACCATGAACACACAAGCCATTCCCATGTGCCAGCTGAGCTGCTGATCCAGAATCTGACAGCAAAATAAACAACTGTTTATACTATTAAATTTTAAAATGATTTATCTCGCAGCCATGTTAACTAAAACAGGCAATAAAAGTAGAATCACTTTGAAACTACGAACTGCTTAACAAATGTAAGAAATTCATGGAAAGCATGTTTTTTAAAAAAAACTCCATGGAAGATCATGTGATTGTAATACTTGATTTTATTCTGGCATTTATTGAGAACCCACTGACAGGTGGCTTGAATATACAAAACATGTATCAAAGTCTGATGACATCTTGATTTAAATGCCAGCATAGCGCAAACGTACTTTGGAGTTTCCGAATAGGAATTATCACTACTTATCCAACAGAGTTTTGAAGAAGAAAGGGCAAAAAGTACAGAAAGCATCTACTCTCCTACTCAACACACAGTGGCTACTTAATAAATGTTAGCATCATTCCCACCTTCCAGTGTGGAAGTACACTTAAAAACTATTTATGTTTTCATCACTGTTTAGACATGGCACATGAGTGAAATTTTTTTTCTAGTTCTTTTGTCATTGGTTTGGCAGACTCAAGCTCTGAACCTAAGAACATTAGAAAATATTTTCAAGTACTTCACAGATAAACATTAAGTGCTAAATAACAGAGGAGTCAAATTGACAAATTATGTCTGCCCATCCTTTTATTACCAGAAAAGTATCTGAAGAGCATTTAAATATGCACACTAAGGTCGAATATTAAATTTAAAAATAAGTAGCCACACTTGTAAAAAAGACATAGTTCTAAAGGCAGGATAGGGTAACCATGACCGGGCTAACCATTTAACAGCTTAATTTCCCCCAATTCAAAGCAGGACTGACAAGCTAAGAGGCTCCATTCTCTGCTCCATGCATTGTTCATTGATTTTTTTTCCCCCTGATGTTACTGAGTTTCTTATAGATGAAGGGTTTTACCAGGGAAACTGGATTAACTATATGGTATTCATAGTTTCAGGCAAAAGTCTGATAAGGTTATACATTTTATTATACTTATACATACCTATGGTTAGTTATCTCTTAATTGTTCTTTACTCTCAGAAAACTGAAAGGTTTCTCACAAAATTTTGAAAAGATTTCGAATTTGAGACAAAAATAAATACGGGGGGGGGGTACCCCAAGAACTGGAATTATCTTCTGGATGGCGGGCCCCTTGTAGTACTGGCTTCCCCTGCTAGATGAATGTTCTGGGAACCCATCTGTATCAGTGTACCAGCTGACGTTGTGAGAGGTGTTTAGTCCACTTCATGATGGGTGATTTACAAGAGTGCTGAGTGTCCCACAGCTTGCTGAGTGTCCAGCAGTTTTTGACCAAAAACAGCATGACCCCAGTTGTATACCCTCCCTATTCACCTGATCTTACCCTGAGCAACCTATTTTTGTTTCCTGGGATGAAAAAAGTCCTCAAAGGGAAATGTTTTGCCAATGTGGAAGAGGTGAAACAAAAAATGGCAGAAGCACTAAAAAGCATCAAAATTTATCAGTTAAAAAACTGTTCTGAGCTATGGAAAAAACATCTCAATTAGTGTATCGCATCAAATGGAGAGTACTCTGAAGGTGAGTGAAGTTTAAACGTGTAAAAATAAATACACAATTTCTTTATAAATGAATTCTGGTTGTCTTGGATCCCCCTTGTAGATGGATTTATAGATGAACCCGTAAAAATGAATACGAGAAACATGGCAATTACATCAAGCTCTCACACCATGTACCTTGCTAAGCACTTTACATCCTGGTTTTATTTAATCTTAACTACCCTATGAAGAAGGTGTTATCCCTGTTTTATAGAGAAGTAAAAGTGGCTTAGGACAGTTAATGCAATTTGTCTAAGACAACACAGCAAACAACAGGCTGCAGCATCAAGAGTCTGATCCTGGCCTGACTGAAAAACCCTTAACCACTGTTACTAACTCCCATATTTCAGATTCCTTGATTCACCATCATTGCAGGTACCACTGAGAATAACAACAAAAACATTGGCAATTATAATTGTGCCACCCACTGAAATAGGGCTCATCCAGATGTTAACTTACGAAGAAAAGAGGGTGGGGGTTGTATCAGAATCAATGATACGTAGTATCATCTATACTGCTGCCAGTTCAGTGTCTCTCTGAATGAAGAAAATTACATGTGAGCTGAATGAAGAATTGAATACCACTTAATTCTGGGGCACTCTAGAAAATAGCTCCCTTAGGCCACACTAAAATATTATTTTTCTAATGATTAATCATACTCAGAATGTATTTTCAGATTACATCACTTTATATCCTCTCAGTTGTCACCTCACTGGATGCTGACAGATGCTGATAGCTATGCATTGTTATTAACTTCAAATTAGAGCTATTCAGAGGCACAATGATAAAGACTTAACTTGTCCAGTCTAAGGACTCAGGTATGAATTAAAGTAGGAGCTAAGTTCTCTATTCATACCAGCAGCTCAACCTCAAGATGAAATTCTTCCCTTATTTTCTTTTTATTCAATATCAGGTTCCAGAGATTTGGTTTATTTTTATTTCTGCCAACTACTTATTTCACTTGGCCTTTTTCATCCCCTTGGGCTGACTGTGAAATGAAATTTTCTATCTTTCTAAGTGTTTTTCCAACAACCCTCCACACACACCTCCCTTTTCAAGTATTTTATTGTCTTTTTTTCTTGAAAACACTAGTCATTACAGAAGAGACAGGAATAAACCTTAGGAAAGTCAAAACAGTTCAACAAGGGTGAATTGCTCAGAAATCCCTTTCTATTTCCGGAGTCCTTTTGTATTTGCAGCAGGCGGTGGGATTCATTATCGGTCTACACTCAATGCTCTACACCAACTACAGATACCCTGATGATGTTAATATCAAGGACAAACACAAATGAACTACCAGGTTATTTGCACTTCTGAGGGATTTAAGTTAAATACAAGAAAGACACAATATGAAATATAAAAGAAAAATGGCCCCTGTATTCCCTATGGCTACATTCTATTTAGCATGGGAACAGGAAGAGTGGAGGAATACAGACACATACACAGAGCTTATGTGGTGCAGTTAAGATTGGGGTTTGGTGTAATACAGCATAAAATACGATGAGAGAATACAGCATAAAGTATGATGATAGAGTACTATATATCTACTTTTCAAGTCTGGAAATCGGACTCTGTTTTACTTAAACACCTTATTTTAGACCTGGTCAGGAAGAACACTATACGTGAGATATGCTAAACAAAGAACTACATTTTTACTCTTCCAATAGAGATAAACACTGGGAATTAAGCCTATATAAACAAACAAGTATCAAACAAGTAGCAAACAAGTATGCTAAGGAACATGAAGGAGGACACACTTCACCTTAAAAGCAAAAGAGAGCAGCTGAAGAGTTTTAATAACAATAGATTAAAGTTTCAGAAAGTTGACTGGATGCATCATAGAGACTGGATTAGAAAGGGAGACAGAGTTGAGGAGACTAGTTAAGAAAGCTCGTGTGGTCCAGGCAAGCAAAGATAGCGGCTTGAAATTAGGTATTACCTAAGTGGAGAAAGAATTAAGTGGATTGGCTTGGAGATTTTTAAGGGTTTGCTGACCAACTGGATTCAGAGAATGAGAGAAAAAAGATTTTAAAATGAGTAATTTTTAGCTTAGGCAACTGGGAAACTGGCAGAGGCAACCATTTAGATTCTGAGAATTCAAAGGGTAAACCAAGAGTCTATTTCTAAGGAGGGAGATGTTGACCTGAATAAGTGGATGGCCTGTGGACACATTTAGTAAGTAAAACCAGTTAAGACTTGGTAATTGCCTGGATGTGAGGTTTATAGGGAAATAAAGGAGACAAAGATTTCTGGCTTAAATCTGTGGATTGTCACTGCGGTAGATTGTATAATGGCCATAAATTCCTTTTAACCTGGTATTTATACTTCTTTGCAATGTGACTATGTCACTCCTCCCATGCAATGAGTCTATCTGCCCCCCCCCCCCCCCCCCCCGCACTGCTCTTGGGATTTGCTTTGACAACTATTGTGAAGTGGAAGTGATACATGTGATTTCTAAGGCTGGGCTTTAGGGGGCATTGCAGCTTCTGTTATTTAGCACTGCTGCCATGAGACTGCCATGAAAAGAAGTTGGTCTGGCCTACTGGAGAATGAGAGGTCACATGGAGAACCAAGCATGTCACCTTGCTGACAGTAAGCACCAAGTAAAAATGAAGCGATCTTGGATCTTTCTGTCCAGCTGACCTACTAGCACAACACAGCTGCATAAATGAGGCCAGAAGAAAGCAACAAAGGAATTGCTCATCAGACCCACAGAATCATGAGAGATCATTATTTTAAGCCATTAAGTTTTGGGTGGTTATAAAGTCATTGATACTGAAACACTCAGAGGCAGGAAAATCAAAAGGCAACTTGAAATGTTACTCCTTTTTATCTGTGCATGGTGGTGAACCCAAATCACCTAATATGCACACACACACACACACAAACACACACACACACACACACACACAGAAAGAAAATCTTGAGCAGAAAGTTTAGAGAGGGGTCCTTCCAATCATTTCTAAGGCACCAAATATCTGAAATAATGAAGTACTGCAATACTAACTGCAGAAGAATCCACCTCTGTGTATGGTTGCAAAAGCAACAGGGCACGATCTTCAAACTTCTTGATAAAAGAAAAGCAAAGGTTTTTAAAGAGGCCTTTGGTGTAGGCCCTAACTCCACCAAACCTTGGATAAATCAGTTATACCAGATCGCCTAGGAAGAGGGTGTCAAACTCATTTTCACCCGGGGGCCACATCAACCTCGAGGTTGCCTTCAAATGACCGAATGTAATTTCAACTCCCTAACATTTAAGGAGTAGTTACATTTTTACAGACCTAAAATTATTTTGGCTCTTTGAAGGCAACCATCAGGCTGATGTGGCCCTGGTGAAAATGAGTTTGTCACCCCTGTCCTAGGAGAAAACTTTTCACCAGGCTGCATAAGATTATCTGAAAAATTAAGCTGATAAAAGAACGTGTGATCGCAGCAGAGTGCCTATTAAAAAGTTTTATTCATATAGCAAAACATGGATTGCAAACTTTTTAGGAGAAATTAACCAGTATTAATTTGTTCATGTGTGAATAGGAAAATAGGTCAAAATTAGCCTTTCCCCATTCAAAGATTAAGAAAACATCTGCTCTGTTATGGGGGGGGGGAAACACTGTAAAAAAAAAAAGAAACTTGGTTAACATTGTCTGATTTTAAACAAGACGGAGACTATTTTTTAAGAAAATCACTTTTAAAAATAAGATATGCTTTAGTATAGAGCATCTACTTTTACTACGACGACGTTGTTTAAAAACAAAACAAATAACACTGAAGTGCACCCAGGTATGTGAATACTAGAGAACGGTGGTAAAGGGCTAACAGTGAATTAAGGGAACACTAATATGTACCCGACAGAGAAAGAAATACATAGGAAGTGCAACCTGGATCAAACACTTGAAGGCTTTCGTCTAGGATTTGGGAACTTGACACAGAGAACGGTTTTATTTCGGCTATTAAAAAGCAATTTTCGCTCCTTTCCAAGATTTATTGCCTTTCCTCACCGTCCTACCCCCGCCCCACTGTGCACCGTGCGATTTACGGATTGTTTTTAGCTGGAGAGCAACAAGAGACGATAAGTACTCAAGATATCTGAAGCCAGGAGAAAGAACCGTTAGAAAGCCAGATAGGGGAAGGATAAGCATCAAAGAAAGAAGCAAACCACGTCGCATTCCGGCCACAGCAGTGGCTAAGGAATCCCAGTCCTCCCACCCTTTTCAAGTGTGGTTCCCAAGTGGATCCGGATGATCCGTTTTCCTCAGCACAATGCCCCTGGAGCTACCGCGGAGGTGATCTTTACTCACCGCTTGAAGAACAGTTGCCAACAGCAACCGCGGCCCTAATGCCAGGCCAAGCCATCCACCCAGCCTAGCTGCCATCGCTACCATCTTCCGCAGGTCTCTAAGTGCTCATAGGACCCCTCAGATAGGGGAGTCCACTCCAGAGCCTGATCTAAAACAGGCTGCTAAAGAGCGGTTGCCATCAAATCTGTTAGTCTGCAGCGAGTGATTACCCAAGGGCATAGGGAAGTTAAAGGTGATCAAATATCTTTACATTTGATATAAATATAAAGTCGTGGGTCCTTTCGATAAATCCATGTCAGGCACTTTCCTAAACTCCCTCAATTACTTTTCTGGGCTTCTTCCTTTCTTCCACGGCATTTCGTTGAGCTGACAAGAAGCCCCGCCTTAGTCAGTTTGGGCCAGCCTCTTTCTCCAAATTTACCCAATCGAATGCCGCTTTTCGTTGACGCCTCTGGACAAGGAAACCAACGGTAACGCGAACCGAGAACGAAGCCTTGGAATTCTTAGGTCCAATAAGCACGACCGAACGGGAGCAGAGGGTGGAGCCTCTGGTTGCCGAGCAGCGTACGTGGATGCGTGCGCGAGGTGGCGGTGGGGGGATGGGCGGGGGCGGGGCCGAGGGCGGCGCAGCCGCAGCCGCAGCACTTGCAGAGAAGCGCGCGGCCGCGAGCAAGTGAGCGAGGGAGGGAAGGAAGGAAGGGAGTGTGGCAGGCAGGCTGGCGGGCGCGGGGGTCGGTGACTGAGGCAGTAGAAGGAAGCGAGATCCCGGCAGCCGTAGCACTGTGTTGCAGCGCGGGCTTTTGGAGGGATCGGTTGTCGAGTCGTCCGAGAAGAAGCGGGCACCGGTGGTGTTTGTGCTGGCGCCTGGGGGCGGGGGATTGGGGACGTAGGAAAGGGGGGTCGCTGCGGTGGTTTTCTCGCTGTCTCGCTCTCCTTTCCTTTCTGCCTTCTCGGTGGGCTCCTCCCGGCGTCTCCCTTGCCCCCGGGGCCCCGCTCCCCGCCCCCCGCGGTATGTCTTGATCCGGAGCAGCGGGTTTCATGGGGCTCCTCAGGATTATGATGCCGCCCAAGTTGCAGCTACTGGCGGTGGTGGCCTTCGCGGTGGCGATGCTCTTCTTGGAGAACCAAATCCAGAAACTGGAGGAGTCCCGATCGAAGCTAGGTGAGGAGCAGAACCACTCCGGGCTACGTGAGTGGCGTGGAAGGGGCCGGGCCAGGGAGGCGTTGCAACCCGAGCAAGTGGCGTTCCTCTGACCTGGGGTCGAGCTTGGAGGCTGGAGACTGAAAGAGATTATTTGGGAGAACTGGGACTGGGGATATCGAGAGCACTAGCTCCAAGAACGGTTGAATTAAACTTGAATAGTGTGCTGGCCTCGCGAGGTCAAGGGACAGAGCTTGCAAGGTTGGGCTTTCTGTAGCTGAAAGGTTACCTCGAAGTAGGGATTCCATGGGGGAGAGATCAAGGGAATACCGAACTCGGTGGGGAACGGGTACTGCTGGAGACCGAAACGCTCAGCTCAGTCGTGCAGAAAACCCCGGCAGTGTCAGGCGAGGGGTATTCTAATTTGAGATATGGGCACCTGGATTCGGAATCTTTTGGGGATGGGGAGATTCACCAAGGGATAGATGCGGAGAAATGGAGGGAGGACCTAGGAATGATGGTGAGTAAAAGAAATATACTGCTGTGAGTTGCACTCTTGTGCTGGGTTCAGCAAGTGATCACAACTAACGGGAGAAACAGGAATAGCCTGTTCAGTTAGGACAGGAAAGTATATTAAACGCTTCAACAAGGTACTGAAACGAGGCACCCAGGCTTTTAAATTGATTTTTAGTGGCGCTAAAGTGATTAATATTTGGGGCTTAAGATAAGGATACGTGTGTATGTACATTGCCTTGCCTCAATGTTGATGTGAATTTAGAAGAGGAGGGAATGCTTAAGGGGAATTATTGAGATTTAAGTTTATGCAGGGAAAAGTAGGATTATGCAAAAAGTTAACCACATGCTTAAGTAAGGAGTTAACAGTAAATGCTTACTTTAGTGGATAATAGGTCTGAAGTACAAAAAGTTGGGTAATGAAATTCTGAAACAGCAGAAAAATACATAGATTATACTTTCATAGTAGTAGGAACTTTGGCATCTGGGAGGAGCTCAGATGGGAAGGGGGTGTTAAAAGAATGTCAATGATACATTTTGATTTAAAAATGAACTTGGCACTTAAAAACCAGCTCCACAGGCCATACTTTGAATATGGAAAAGTAATGTTAAGTGTTCTTATGCATATATTTTCACCTCAGCATCGTTTTAAGTATTTTTTGAGAAACAAGCCATAAAATACCGGCAGCAGTATAATTTACACTAAGAAGTAACAGCTACATGATGTGGGTGATGATTAGTATTTAATACAAATATATCAGAAAATGATTGTAATATTACCAGTGGTTGCTGATAACTTGTCTTGGTAGACTTTGCAAAAAGCCTTGGAGATATTTTAAAGCAGTCTATGAAAAGAGCATCAGATCTAATTGAAGTGCACTAAAGTTGAACATGAGCTAAGGATAATTCCAGCCCCCAACTCTAGGGTAAAACTTACCCAGTACAGTTTTCAAGAGATATCAGACTTATTTACTATGATTTTATTAATGAGTCTTGTATGATGAAAGAATATTCATTTTAAATATTAAAGGTTGGTCAAGACACTCTTCAAAAATTTATTGATTTTAGAGAGAGGGACAGAGAGAAAGACATCAGTTTGTTGTAACACGTAGTTATGGACTCATTGGTTGATTATTGTGTGTGGGATGGAACCCATAACCTTAGCATGTTGGGACAGTGCTCACCAACTGAGCTACTCTGGCCAGCTCTTTAGATCCATTTTGCAGCATATTCTGAACTCATTAATTCAGCTTAACAAAAAAAAGACTCAGAAATTTGAGTTATGTTGAAATTAAAATTTGTACTTTGTTGTATTGTTATGTGGGTTTCTTCGACATATTACAGTGGGTTAGAAAACTTCAATATTTGACCCTCTTTCCTTCATCCCAAGCAGTGGGTGTCATGGGGCTTCATGATACCTGAAAGCAGTTTTCACAGGCACAACCTGACTGATTTTAAAAAGAGAGTTATCTGAAGATGTAGAAAGCCACTAGAAAATAACATGGGTTTGTGTGTGTGTGTGTGTGTGTGAATTTTTTTTACAAGAAAGAAACCTTTATATTCCATCAGAAGTAATAAGTGTAGATCAAACTCAATCTCAAAATGAGCCAAGAAAAGGAGCCTCAAATACAAAACACTTAAATGAACTAATACTCTGGAGATGCAAAAATATGGCAAATACAACATATTTATATCCGCAATCTTTTGATATTAAAAAGTCTTATAAAAGGCACTACTAAAACATATGTTGCCGGTTAGTACTCTTCCTTAGGAAAGGAAGGCAGAAGAAGGCATAGTTTGACAACCAGACTCTTTACTAGGCACTTTCGTATGAATATTTTTATTTAATCTTCCAAGAACCCTTTGACTGATTTCAAATCCAGTGTTCTTTTAGTTATACCAGGCTGCTTGGGACTTTATATTAACATTACACTAAGATTTAGCAGTTTGAATAGAGTTTTTAAACTGTAATACTATGCTAATTGCATTTATTTGGAAGAATGAGTATCATTCTGAGAAAATCCAATTTCTGACACAAAGGAATTGGTTTAGTGTAATGGCTGGCCCTTGTTTATATCTGTATAATGAACATAATTATATTACCCAATGAAGCAACTGAAATAGCTTATTTCTGCTACAAGAAAGAAAAATCTGTGGTTGTTTTCTATGAGTGTAAAATCATGATATTAAAAAGCACTTTTATTTTGGCATTGGAAAAGCTATTAAACATTTTTACTCTTAAAAATAGTTTTCATTGTTTGTCTTTTCTACTGTAGAAGGTTCCAAAGGATTGTACTATCTGATAATGCCTTAAATACTTTGATTTAAGAGTATTTTGATGGTGAAATCTTTAGTAGAGCAGTAGATATGTTGAAACTTAGGTGTATTCATTGGCTACTTGGTAAATTAAGTATACAAACAAGAATTCCTTAAAAATCACATATCACATAACATAGTTTTAAAAAAATGAATATGGGGTTATGGTATACAAGTTAGTCTGTATTTTGCCCCTCCCCCCCCCATTTAGTACCATAAACATCTTTCCAGGCCCATACATACAAATTTGACTTATTCCAATAGCTGTATAATTTTGCATAGTTTGCATGAATCATGAATTACTAAGCCGTTATGCCAATTATGAACATTCAGTCTCTCCCCCTCCTTCACGTCCACCTTCTTTTGCTTTATCATCTTTTCTTGATATTACAAATAGTATTATAAGAAATACCCTTATATGCCCATTTTATTTCTTGTATGTCAGTGTCATTTTCACTCAGATAAATTCTAACTATGGGATTGCTGGGACAAAGGATATATACATTTTATAATTTAAGAGATTTTTAAAAATGTGTTAAATTCCAAAAAATTTGTTTTCCAAAAAGTTCATAGTAATCTATACCGCCAGCACACACTCACAAACACTGAATGCTAGAAGCATTTAATTTTTGCCAGTCTGAATCTGTGAAATGATTGTTGTTGCACTAATTTATATTTCCTCAACTTCTAATTAGGTGAACATCTTTTATTTGTTCATTTTCATTTGTCTTATTGGATAGTGTATCTTACCAATTTGTAGGTGTTTGTTTTAAATATTAGAATTAGTAATCCTTTATCTATCATATGTTTTGCATGTTTTTCTTCAAGTCTCTCATTTACCCTGCGACCTAATGGTGCATTTTGCTTGTACAGAACTTAAAATATTTACAGGAATATATCAATTTAGCCAAATAGATTTCTTACATTCTTTAAGAAGACTTCTCCCAATTGAGATTATGTGCCTTTTCTACATTTTGTGATAGTATTATATAATTTTTATTTTTTACATTTAGCTTATTAAAGCATTCATATGTTTATACAGATTTATTGTAATTTCAGTGAATAGCTACTTATGCCAGATATTTTATAAATAAATAACCTATTTTTCTCATTGTATGTTACGGTTCTTTTATTTATATATTAAGTTTTCATATGTCCTTAGATCAGCTTTGGTCTCTGTTCTTTTCCACTAATCGGAGATTCTTTAAATGTTAGAGACCCATAGGTAGGCTTCCAGGCATCCATAAATTCCCTGAAATTATATGCGTGGCTTTCATCAGATTGGCACAGGAGTATGAGATCCTATTAATGGTAAGAATCATTGATTTGTAATAGATGGTTCATATTTAATAAAGTTTTATTTTTTTAAATATTACCATATTACAGTATGCAGCTTGTGAAGTTCATTTAAGATACAAACATATTATGAAAATTTTTCTTTGGGTGTTACATTAAAATTTTTCATTTTATTAAAATGTATACTTAATTTTCTTAATGAGTTATGGAAGATTACATGGAGTCAAAATGAAAAAGGTACTTTACTAGTTACTTAGTTGTTTATTTAGAACTGTGTATGTCAGAATTTGTTGCCTTTTTTCCCCTCAAAGCAGTTCTCTCTGAATCTAAGTGCACACCTGTTGCTAATGGTGACTGTTGGAAGAGTGCAATAAAACCTTTGTTAACATAAATGTTAGAATTATGTGCTTGATGATTTTATTTTCTAAATGGCCTAAGAATGTAATATTTGCTGTTTATATGTTTAAAGTACCCCTGCTTATGTTTATAAATGCTGTGGGACATAACCTTTTCAATGAGGATAGTGTCTCAATGGATTATGTAGCCATTTTCCTTGGTGAAAATTATGTTACTGTTCTTAAGACACTGCTAAACTAATGAACTAACAATTCCAAGGCTAAAGTTGAGACTGCTTTTTGAAATTTGGAATTAGTTTTTACAAGTGTGTGAAGCCATACTGCTAAGATATTCCTGCGAATGATAGATTACTTTTGAAATTGTTTGGAAACCTCGTAGTAGTGACTGTGTAGTAGAGAACTTTGGGTAATTGGAATGCGGTTTTTCTAGAATTGCTCGTTGGTGCCTCGCTTATGAGTCTTGGATAGAGTGTCTAGTGCCATGGAATTGCCTGAGCAGTTATCTCAATTAAGGTATGTCATTCTATCACTCTGTTGAGC